CGGGTCAGGTAAAGGGAGTTGCAGGTTTAACAGGAGGTGTAGCAGCACTACAGCTGCTGGCCACGAGCCTTGTGTAGAGACCTCCCGGGCTGTAACAGCAAAAAGTGCAGGGAGGAAACGTAACAGCATCTGCAACCCTTGTAAGCAGACTAAAACTCCCCTCAGGACTCCACCTGACGTGCAGAGGGGCAGGAGGCAGGCGTGTTGCACAAGAGCAGGTTGTGCCTTGAAGCAGCGCCATTGCTGCATCTTCAGTGTGCTGGCTTCAAAAGGAAAAAGGTGACTTGCTCTAGTTTTGGGAGGCTTTTTGGCTGCCGTCCTTTCTGCTCTGAATGACATCCACTGTGGGCAGGATTTAAGATAAACTCTCCCTGCCTTCTGGTATTTCCACAGTGAATAGCCCCAGGCTGCAAGCTCTGTGCAGGCTTCATAATTTACTCACACGGTCTTTTTATCTCTAACAGGTTCTCCTACTAAAGCCTTTACACATTTTGTCTGGAAGTTGGATTGTAAGTCAAATACCGACTTGGCTGATGTTTGTCTAAATCACATATCTTAAAATGCAATCACAAAACGGAGACTTGGACAAAGGCCTTGGAGGGGAGGTTACTGTGCAAAAGGTGTCAGGAGAGTCTGTGAATGACACCAAAAACGTAACAGAAAATGAAGGCACTGCTGTCAACACAGGTGAGACCTTCCAGCTGGCTCGCTAGGATGAATTTAGGGAACTTAAGTGAACATAAAGCCTAGAAATCAAGTCTGTCATTACTTATCTGGATGCAATATGACTTTATTCTTTCTCCCACTGAAGTCACTGAAAACCTTGCCATAACTGAGGCTTACTCAATTGCTATCTTATTGTGCTTTCTTTTTTTTTTTCCCCATTTCTTTAATTTTCTTCTACCTGGAGAGATACCTTTTCCTGTGTTGCAATCATACAGCTAGCCTGACCTCTAAATGTTTTAAGTACAATCATTTTTAAATCAGCTGGTACAATCATCTTGTTTGCACTGTCTCTTTCTAAGTGTCTGGAGTACAAGTGCAACTAGAAGGTGCAGAGCAGGAGTCTGAAGAGAAGAGCATTGAAAATGCCATTAATCAAAGGCAGTCTAAAGACAGCTTGAATGAGTATAGCACTGGAGACACCTTCCGAAGAGTGCAAAAGGGTAAATTTGTAGAAGAGCTAGACTAACAAACAGTGCTTGAGATGACTCAGATATGCCATTACCGTAGTCTGTTTATGTGCAAAGTTAGCAGTCTTGTTAAACTCAAATTACTATTAACTAATTGTAATATATAGTAGATGTCTAAGACCATAAGAATATTGGTGCTAGTACTTTATATTGTCACTGTACATTATAATAACCTTCTTAAGACTAGTGGGTACTACCTGACTTCCAAATTTAAACAAAAAAAAAATTGCAAATTTCAACAATTTATTTTGCTACTACTTATTTTACTACTTCGCCTTCTAAAAAAATTAAATTTCCTTTCATTAAAAATGTCAGCAAAAATCTTGGTTAGCACACTTCTTTTCTTGACATTTGTATTCAAGTGCTCTTCACTATTTCTCTAATTTGCAACATGACGCTTTTTCCCCACTCATGCTGTTAAACTGCAACTTGCTTTCTTACAAAGATGTTAAAACTCAAGAGAAAGCCATCAGCTGTATGTCCAGAGCAGATCAACAGAATGAACAAAAATCAGATGGCGATCGCAAATCGGTGACCAGCTCATTCAGTCAAAGGACAGAAGAAAACAGGGGCTGTATAAGGTAATGCATTGTTTGTGCGTATTTTTTTATTTAAAGCTTGGCATCATTGAACTCAATGGGAGTTTCGCTGTTCTACGAATTAATTCAGGAGAGCAATTTTGAAGATGAATTTGAGATGAATCAATAAATAAAGAATTGTTGATATTTCCAGCACCTCTATGGCTTTTTTATGGCCGCAGTAGCAAACTACATTCTAACTACATGATGTAGTCTATTTTATGGATCTGGAGAAAATTGTGCAGACTCTTGTGGGAGTCATTTTTCAGTATATTTGACCATTTCTAAGCATCAATGGAGACAATGCATTGTATTAATTCATCACAATGTAAGTATTACAGTTGTCAAGATAAGTTTTAGCAGAGGAAATCCAGAGGTACCTCAGATGGTTGACAATATGATACAACTCCTTTGTAAGCTCTGGCTCTAATTTTGGTCCAACCTAAGCCAGCATATGCCGTGATGGCTGTTCATTAATAGTTGTGAAATGGGATTATTCTCGTGTGATCTCTGATTAAGCACATTGCAAGCAAATAATAAAATTTAAAACCATATTTGGTACTGTTTAGTAACACTGTTGAAAGTCTGGTTGCGTGGGCTAGTTATGGAGTGACGTATAAGGAACAATGAAGATGTACTCTCTGTTCCTGTAGCGGCTTACATGCTGAAACTTCCCGCAGTTTATGTTGCTGCTAACTTTAACGTAGCTGTTCTATTAGAGACAGTTACAGTCCTTTGAAGTCAAAGGAAGGACTCTCACTGAGTTATCAGGAGGGAGATTGGACTGTACTTACATAGGAAACTGCATTATTCCAGGCTAATCAGCCTGGCATACTTCAGAATTAAGTTCTATGAAGAATGATGGCAGAGAGCAACAACTGCACATAAGAGAATTAGTGTTTTGAAGGAACACATTTTATGATCCTATAAATTGCCTGAGGATGCTAATAATTTGATTAGATGCTACTACAAATAGCACAATGAAAAACAGTGGGATATACTGCAAGTAGCTAGCATACAATAATGTACCTGGGCTGACAATACAAGAAAACAGTATATATTTAAAGGTTTTTAAATCTTTCATTCCTTCAGAGATGTCAGGCACGTTTGGCTTACAGGGCAGTTACAGGCTGATAATCATATTTTGTATTGCCCCAGGAACTCAGTTGACTAGTTGACTGTATTACAGTTTTGTTCTTCAGCAATATTGAGATTTGTAGTGTAGTAAGTAAATAAATCTAAACGCAAATTCATTATGAAAGGTTTAACGTCACTGCCTTTACTCAAGTTTTTTTGTTATTTTGAAAATATCTTCCTGCCAAGAAAATATTACTGTTACAAGCTTTAGTCTTGTGAATACTTATGACCACAAATGCAAAGTTCAATTTGTTAATATGGAATTTAGAAGTAAAAAATAATTTTGGACCGTTTAACATTGTACTTCTGCAATATTTCTTTAAGTAAGGAATATTTACTATAAGTTTTATTTTGGAATTTTGTTTTACAGAATCTAATCTTTCTAAACAGGAAGATATAGATATTTTCTACTTTGGAATGTTTTTGCTAGGTGTTTTCCTAACGGGCTCCCCAGTTTCTTATCTATAATATTACCAAATTTTATGTAGCCCTGGACACCTTGCCTCCAAAAATAGTGTCCTGTCATTATTTGCGAAGTCCCTGCTAGGGGACTACCAACTCTATGAAGCTGTTGATCCAGTGCTGTCTAGCACAGGGTCCTAGATAATGGCACAACTCATCCCATCAGCTGCTCTTCACTGCGATCCGATTCAGGTTTAACAGTTTTCAGGCTACCTGTGTACTTAGCACTTTGGGGGTTTGCTGTCCTGCTGACTGTCGTGTGCAGCTTTGGCTTCATTTGGCCACTGGTGGCTGCCACCCCAAGTGCTTTGCCCCTCCAGCCTCTGCTGTTTCACACTGTAGCTTTCTGTACCTCTTGCCAAGTCCTTTGCCCCTGCACTGTTCAGTTGTAGCCCACAGCTGCCCTGAGTAGCCTTTTCTTGCTTCTCGCTTCCATAAATCCCAAAAGGAGTGGAGCCGAACATTAAGCAATTACAATTGAACAGATATTATTAATTTTCTTACTGTGGCATTCCTAGCCAATCACAGCTGTATATTAAAACTGTCTTGAGTGCTGTTTCACAGTCAGCATTTCATTGAAATGTTAGGTTGATAACTATTGATTTTTCTAGTCTGAGAAAAATGTTCTGTATTGGCTATGCACCAAAGCAGCAAGGAATGGAGGAAGGAATTGGAGAGGAAGGAACCAGATTCTAACATAGAATCATGCTGCTCTTTTCCAAGAAGGTGGACTCTAATTCCCTACCCACTTTCTTACGTACTCTCTGGTTTTTAGCAGAAGATCCTGGTAACTCACTTCAAACAGGTAGAAATGGAAAGCCACTCCAGGTTTTTTAAACCTACTGCTTTTTTATTTTGAGTATAGTCTTGAAAGTTATAGCCATTTCTCTTGCATAAAAGAACTATTGTGTCATATTGAAATCTGTTAAAAACCCAAAGATTTCAGAATGTGCACTGAAATACATTTTTTGTTTTGCTTCTGCTTCCCATTATTATTTTAGAATGACAAAAAAGATTCTGCAAGACATCTGTAAACAGCAGAAATTATACTTGACCCCATACTTAAATGATACACTTTACTTGCATTATAAAGGTAAGATGTGGACAAGACTGTTTAGATTTATCATTCTAAGTAGCATTTTAGAAGATAATCTATTTTATGGCTCACTGAAGTAAGGTATCTAATAATTCTTTTAAATTAGAAACATAATTTAATTTTATATAATAACAAAATTATGAAACAAAATGAAGGTAGAAAGGTGAACTGATTATAGACCTAATTCACTTTGTGGAGTCATTCAAAGGGTCAGCAGGGATCAAGGGACATCCCCCGCCCCCAACCAGGAGCTTCTAAGAAATGTCTTAAAGCAGTGGTCTGGGTTGCATTCAGAGGAAAATACATGTATTTCTTCTTAAATGTGTTTGTATAAAGAAGCTGTTTTCCACCTTTGGGGACTTTTGTACTGCCAAATAAAAATGGTCAGGAAGAAAAGGAACAGTAAACACTTGCTGCATGTTCTCAAATACTACTGAAAGAAAAAGAAGTTGCTAGAATGAACACGGGTAATTCTCTTGTGATCTTTGAGCAGGTTTTTGCATGATACGGTTAGCTGGCTCAGGTTAGTATCAGAATTGTTTTAAATAAATAGGACATGCTAAATCTACCTTCTACATTTGGCCTTGTTTTTGCTATTTTCTCAATATGTATTATTTGAGCATCTGAAGGGCTGCACGAGATATAGACCAGAATAGGTACCTATATGTTTTTGCCCTTTTTGGGCCAGGTACTGTACCACTAATTCAGTGGAAATATTGACAGCAGCTTGAGTACAAGTGTTCTCACAGGCTGTTTCAGCAGCACTAGTTTAATGAAATTTACTCTTCCAAAGACTTGTTTTCAGCCAATGAAATTTCATTTTAAAACATCTTTTTCTGCAGGGTTTGACCGCCTGGAGAATCTTGAAGAGTATACTGGATTGAAGTGTTTATGGCTGGAATGCAATGGCTTAACAAAAATTGAGAATTTGGAGGCTTTGACAGAGTTGCGTTGCCTCTACTTGCAACTCAATTTAATTAACAAAATTGAAAACCTTGAACCCTTACAAAAGCTGGATTCCCTCAATATCAGTAACAACTACGTTAAGACCATTGAGAATCTCTGTAAGAACTGTTGGTACAATGTGGTTTAACTTATAATGAGCCCATATTCCTAAGCTTTGACTAAGCTAAGATATTATTAGTGGCACTAGTTTCAAGGGTTTTTTTATTCATATTAGAATTTTGCACAATATCCCATACCAAAGTCCACAAGGCTTCTATTGAAGAGTCAAACCTATGTATTTTGCAATTTAAATAGAAGAGAAAACAGAAAAGACAATTACTTTCACATGGACACCTAGGACAATTAAGTAGTTTCTCCTCACTTCTTATACCATCTAAGTACTTATTTGTGTTGCAGACAGGCTGGCAATCCAGTTTTCACCATTTACTTCACAGTTACGATGTGCTTTGGCAGTTGCAGACATGATTACCAAATCTTTTATGTCTGTTAAAGGATCTATTCCATCTTCATCAGAAATGAAAAAATAATTTCTCTACATTATCATTTGTGTACATTGGGAGTAATATGAAACACAAGCTCTTGCTTTTGTGTAACTGGCTAGTTTGAAATGAATTAAAAATAACCACCATCCTAAAAACAAACAACTGTTTTTTCTGGGGTGAAGAATGCAGCTTTAGAGGCCTAGCCAAAAAGCACATATAGCAGAACAGGGAATTTAGAAAAAAGCTCCCCACATTTCAATAGAAACAATTATTTTGACAATGCGGTTTTCTACTTGCTTCAGAAAACCCTCTGTGAAGCAATGACTCTTACCATTCCTTTCATTGTACTGTTCTTATCTGACAGCTTGTCTGAAAGTCCTGCAGACTCTGCAGATTGCTCACAACAAGTTACAAACAGTGGAAGACATACAGCACTTGCAAGAATGCCCAAGTATTTCTGTTCTTGATCTTTCCCACAACAATCTAAGTGATCCAAGTATTATAACGGTTCTGGAGACCATGCCTAATTTGGTAAGCCGAATATAGCTGAGGGCTTGTATCATGTATATGGGTGAATCCCATTAAAAGGTTTTGTCGGGTAGTCCAGTGCACAATAGGTCGTGGCCTAAACGAAATGTTACTAAACTCTATTTGGTTTTTGTAGATTACATGTAACACCCAGGATGTTTTGTTCACTTCTTGTTTTTGAAATGATAGAGAAAGTGCATATCCAGATCAGGATTTTTCTGCTACTCAACTTTAAAAATTGTTTCCCATGTTTCTCTAGCGTGTGCTGAATTTGATGGGAAACCAAGTGATAAAGAAAATTCCTAATTATAGAAAAACACTTATCGTTCGCCTAAAACTACTAACGTATCTGGATGACAGACCAGTTTTCCCAAAGGATAGGTAAGAAACAGAGCCATCTTCTTTACACAGCAACAAAGCTCAAATGCTAATTATCACTCATCCATTTTTTGTCAATATAGTCATGGAAGGAAAGGAAGACTGACTGGTATAATTTATTGAGGGTGGGTGACTTTGAGTACAAGAGTATTATACTATGGAGTTCTACATCTATCATACATAGAAAAAAACATGCATTTTTTCACAAGAGCATTAATCCTTGAACAGAATTGTTTTATGCCAAGTCTGTAGAGCAGAGGCAAATCCCAATTTCAACAGATACTGAACGGGTGTCTGGAAAAGCAGAGCCAAGATCAGCACTCTCAGCAGATCTCTGGTGGTGTAATCACCAGCATTTGGGTATCTTTGTTTCTTTTGTTGCAGTTCCACGTACAAGTTAAGACGTATGTGAATCCCTGTGGCATAAGGGATTGTCACCACTATATGCTTTTTTTCTCTTGCAGCTATTTTATACTGTTGCAAGCTATTTTAAATTTCTCTCTTATTACAAAGATGGGCTTTTATAGCTATATTACAGTGAGCTTTTGTGTTTTCATTAGAGCCTGTGCAGAAGCCTGGGCTGTTGGAGGGCTTGAAGCTGAGAAAGCAGAAAGGGAAAAATGGGAAACCAGAGAGAGAAAAAAAATCCAAGATAGCATCGATGCTTTAGCAGCAATCAGGCAAAAAGCAGAGGAAAAGAAAAGACAAAAGTATATGGAAGAAAGAGATGCAAGTGCAAAATGTGGAAATCAAGATGCAACAGCCATCCTAGAAGGTTTGCGGTTACTATTTTGGAAGATGTCTGTGTCTGCTTCAATTTGAGTCTTTAAAATAATAGTTCCTAAATATTCAGAAACAGGCTGATGCAATTTTTGGAATATATTTATGAATCTTCTTTTACCATACTAAATATTTTATTAGTCTTGTTGCATCTGCAATTAACCACAATGATTTTAAGCAATTATCACCTTTCTCACTGCTGATAAAAGAAAAAAAAACAACAAACCACTTTCTGTCCCAGCATTTCAAGCTCTTGTACTCTTCACCAGAGCAACCAGGTGCCAGTCAGGGCAATAATGGTTCCAGCAGGCATTCATGGGTGGAACAAGGCAGTTATACCCCAAGAGCGGTATTTCCCTGATGCAGAACAGGGATGGCTTCAATAGGCACGTGGGCTCCAGTAAGACCCAGTGATAACCACCTCACCAGTCCCCATCCAGGCACCTCTCCGCTGCTGCGTTCACTAACAGTAAGAGCTTCAGCCTAGAGCCTACAGCAGTGGTAATACAGACAGTAAGAGGAAGGTCTCTAATAATTTGCTTCACTTACTGGCCTTTTTTATGCCACAAATTCTCCGGTCACGTTATTCAGGGAGGCATACATTTACGACCAACAATAGGTCTGAACCTAACCTTTCTAGAGAAGTATGCATGTTTCAGGATAAAGAGCATTGAAGCCAAATAAGAAGGCAGTACTACAGTGCTGAGGGGTGTTTACCTATCTGATACATTTTGGGGTTTCACAAGCTCTGAAATGGAACGTGGTTGACTAACAAGTAAAACTTTTTCTGCAAGCAGGTAGATTGCATAAAGGACAGGATAACTGCAGCATTTGTCACCGATCCATCAAAATGCTCAAGCATATATTTAAATATGTAGTCACTTGTGAGTCTTTTCAAAATTAATTAAATATACCAGACAATTATTTACTATCGTGTTTTCTCTAGATGAGTTTTTTTGCTGGGGAACTGTATTTGCTAGGGAGTTGAGATGGGGAAAACCCACAACATTGCTGCAGTCTTGGGAGGACTCAGCAGTTTTAATGAACTTGTTTCTTCTGTAGGAGCACCTGCAAATTCAGATGACAGTGATGTAAATTCTAATACATCAGAGACTTCAAATATATCAGAAGACGAAGAAACTCAAGAGAAGACTGAGACATTTAGAAATGAAAGTTTTGATGTTCGTAATGAAGTGGTAACACTTCTACCAAATAGGGGAGGTAACACAGATTTCACATCTGGAAATATTCCTGCTAGAATTCAAGAGGATGCACAAGGATCAAATTCTTACAAACACTCAAACTTCAACAAGAAGCCAGATGGTAATGTACACAGTGAAGAGTCAAAACAAACTGAGGATGCAGAGCCGATGAGTCAAACTCTTACTATAGCACCGCCTCTGCCATGATTGAAACCAACTGATTCATAGATAAGAACATCCCATTGGATTGCCACAGTGACTAGTTGAAAACCAAGTAATACTGGATAAAATATTCTTTAAATACAACAAACAAAAAAAATTCTGAGGGCTCAACCTGCAACTTCTGTTACATAAAGGTGGAATTTCACTTCTCATACGTGCCAGGTTTAGCCACAGGACAGGAGAGCTTACAGGCTTCCCTTGCTCCCACATAAACTGTGTGGTCTGTCTGCCAGCAGAAGCTGGACATCATTCTAGAGGTGGTTTTGTCCATTCACACATAGGAGAATGCTTTTGTAGCTTTGTGGAATACATTATTGCAAAATGCAAATATTAATTTATACAATATAAGGGAGACTAAGAATATGATGGAAAGACAAAGAGCTGGATTCAGCTGTGAATTCTGCAATGGTAGTCAGGTCCCCAGCAGTTTGGTTTTGCACTGCTTGCTGTTGCAATATAGAAAGTCTTTTATTCAGTTAGTTCCCTGCAGCTGACTATTGTTTATTCTTTAGATCTACCAAAAGAGAAGGCAGCTACTGAAAAGGCCATGCTTCCTGAACTGGATGAATATGCTGAAATTGAACAGATGAAACTGGAGACACCAGAGAAAGTTTATCTTGATGTATGTATTGAATTCAGATTTTGGGAAGTTCAGATCTGGTATTGTCTGCTCGCAAATTAGTTCTTGTAACATCCTGGCTAATAAAACTATATGGTCAGGCTTCTAAGAAAGGTCTACTATTACGAAAAGTAAAAGGAAAGAAAGAAAAAAAACCCAAAAAGTAAAGTTGTAGGGGTAGCCATTCTCTCCAGTGTAGCATGTATAAAGAATTTACCACCGCTTCCAAAGTTTATTTTGTCCTTTGGCTATAAATCACCTGAAGTTGACCTTCTATCTCGGTGATTTCTCTGGAGAAGTTAATGACAGCTCTCATTTAAAAAATGGAAATCACAACAAAAAGAATCTAGTGGCTACATGCATCCTCTTAGGCAAAACTCAAATGAAATATGCAGTTGAAAATGTGAACTATTGCAGAAAAAGCATAAGGAAGAAAGAGCCACCCACTCATTGTAAATGTTAGCTAGCAGTATTAGATACTATAAATAAATTCTCAAAATATAACTTTTAGGTATATTTCCAAGAAAAGCAGAGTGTGCATTATTCAGATATATAATAAGCGATTGACATTTGTAATATGGTCTTCTGTTATCTAAGATTTCTATCTGGTGATGCAAACATTTAAACATGATTAACCACATTTAACCATGAGGAGGACATGGATACCGCTGAAACCCTCATACAGCCGCTGTTAACTAAATTCTTACTGGAATGTTTTAGAAAAGTCTCTTATATCTTTTCCATGCTCTTAATTTCCCAGGAAAAAATTCCATCCTGTTATCAAAGGGCTCAACTCACTGCTTCAGTAGAGGGCTTACTGCTGCATCCTCCCATTTGGCTGGTTTCAATAATAGGTTTAACAAGGATAGTGGAGAGAACTGGCAGCAATTCCAAGTGTGTAAATATTATTTTTATAAGCAGATCTTGCAGGGTCTGAAATAAAAGCTTTAAATAAATAGCAATACCATAGGTACCCACAATGTAAAGATCTCACAGATTCAGCGTTTGTTTTTCCCTTGGTGCTATATGGCACCATAGCACGCTCCTTTGCACAAATTTTAACGTCATATAAAAGGAACTCTTCAGCGTACGTACATGATGTTTCTTTTGACACATAAAAAGTGTAACTATTCTAATTCCACAGAAGAAAAAACAAACCCAAATCACGTACTAATACACATTTCAGTGGTCTATGCTACATCATTCTCCAGCTGATGTTTAGTGATGGAAAGAGCTTCTCGCAACAACCTCCAATACTTACGCTATTGCAGATTTTCCAAAGAGCAGGGAATGGCTGTGAAGATGCCAATGGTGAGAAGTTCTGGAGCAGCACCATTGTCACCTGAAGTCAGTAGATGGTGTCAGTAGTAATGTAAGGGAGAAGAGTGGAGGAGGATTTGTAATGCGGTGGTTATGACATCTCTCCATTAAGCAGAAACAAGCCCACATTGCTGCACACACCTTGGCAGTGTTTGAACTACATTCTGTGTACCTAAACAGGATAACTTCTAGTAAGCAATTTTGGTTTGATTTGCAAATGCACCCTGCTGATTGGAACAACACTAACAGCTATTTAACTTCCCTATTGACATCAGATTCCACCCACTAACATTAGTGTCAAATCTTAATTTGTACATTTTTAATGATATTCTTATAAACCCATGTGACCTCAGGACATGCTGCACTAGCTACAACCATATCAGGAAACAGAAACTTCCTTTGTTGATTTTAATTCTGTAATAATCTTTGCCACGCAAGACAGTACAGATTGGATGTTCCTGATGCTACCACGCCACGCAGATTGCTACAAAATCAAGGTCTAAAACCAAAAGGAGATGTTTTTACCAGTATTGCGTTACATTAAAAAATTGGCAAAAAGGTATTACTTTCTACCTGTGATTTTGTATGCCCACCCTCTATTTTTGCTTTCATGTCAGCAAGCGGCAGTTGTCTTAGCTAATACTTTCTAACGGAAAGCTGAAATGATTGGACCTGTCTGAGGAAAAACAGTTCTTGGCGAGTTTCCAGTTCTATATCCTTAGTTATGAGGCATTCACAGTGAAACATTGTTTTATTAGATGTATTTAGGTTAACAGAGTTTACTGATAAACAGTTCCAGGTAGACCGCAGATCTTGATTTGGCTCTTATCTGTAAAGATGGGTTGCAGTTGAGATTAAGTCTATTGAATAGATAAGAAACAGCTAATAGACATAAACCACGTTTGCTTTTAAAATCCTGTTAATGCCTTGCTGTTTGTCTTTTTGTCTTCCTTTTTTTCCCCCCATAATCATACGGCGTAGTAGAAAATAGCATTCAGTCTGACATTAAGGTTATTGCCTTCCCCTCTGCTATTTGTGGAGACAGATGAATTTTCCTTTTCCCACAGAGGAAACTGTCATCTCTGAGAGGATGTCAGTGCAGTGTTCCTGGCTGTGGCCTCTTACCCTGAAAAGCATTGCTTTGAAGAAGATTCTCAATGAGATAGAGATGTCATATTTATTGGTTAGAGTAGCTTTTCCCACTGATTAATGATCTTGTGGTTGTCCCCAGGAGCTGCCTGATTTAGAAGATATAGATGTAAATGAATTTCCCCCAGAAGAGGAAATCTTTGTTCAAAAGGTAAGATTCTTATTAATTCCAGTGATGAAGCTTCCCTAAACACATTTACAAATGTTTTGCAAAATGAGGATAATCTAAGTTGTGAAATGCTGTTTTGGGAGGTCCAATCAGTTATGCATTTATAAACTAAAACAGATGTTTCAGCAGATCTTCTCTGTCCACTTGTAAATATTTTTTTTAATTTTATTTTTTTATATTATTGTGTTGCAAAAATAGGAGAATGAAAAACTAAGATCAAGTAATGCAACAGTCAAATAAGATTAATTTCTTAGTAGCATGTAGTGTTTTAATGAAGATTACTCTTAAAATGTACTTTACCAGTACTAATATGCTACAAAGGACTGAATAGATTGAACAAATCACCTGGTACTGAATAAAATCAGACTTTTCAACTGAAAACACAGAGGGATTGAAACTCCTCTGCTCTACTTGGGGCTAGTCAGATACAAGGCAGTTCATGCCCATGTTAGCATTGTGCTGTGTGCTCAAACTGATCTTCTAGGCAAAAGCCTATAAACAGAAGAGAAAAAAGAAAAATAAAACAAGAAAGATTAGAAGCACAGCTTTGATTCTAGTGCTGATGTTGACTCACGTTTGCCTTGCTGGAGACAGAGACTGAACAGTACATGTTTTTCTGAGCGCCTCCAAGATAATGCAAACTTTTCCTACAGTCAGTGAAAGGCATGGAATTTATCTGCTCTTTTGGTCACAGACTTGTAACAGTGTTGCAAAACATCTTGGCCAAGAAAGCCTCCGATTAGAAGAAGATAAGGGAAGGGAACAAAGATTATTGAAGGAGTGTTAGCAGCTCTCATGCTCCGAAGGGTGTTCAGTTTTTAACTGAAGTCAGACAAAGATGTTAGGTCCCTCTAGAGGCAAAGTAATAGCACTGAGCCCACACATTGCTGAATTGCTGAAATAAGTCTTTTTATGAACTGTTAGTAGTTTATGGTCAGTTCATCGCTAATGCCTGAGAAATAGTTAACCCAAGATTCATCCACAAAGAAGCAGAGCTATGGGTATGAAGAATATATTCCATACATTTGGGGAGAATAGCACATCAAAGCTGACAGGTGTTATGTGGATCCAAGAGATATTTACCCATCTTTTAGCTTTTACATCTACAGTAATATATTTTCAATTACATTTTCTACCTTTACAGCAGGAATATCACCCAAAGATTGAAATAATTTCTGAAATGACAAATGACAGCGATTCTGCATTAGAGGAAAACAGTAAAAGCATGTTTGAGAATTCAGTAGGAGAAGAAGTTCCAACAGCAATTTTTTCAAATGTGTGTAAGATACATAAAGAGCATGAAAAGGAGCACTTAAGACCCCTTGTTGAAAGCTTCTTTACAGAGCCTGCTAATTCAGAAAGATACCTGGAGATCAAAGGTAAAGAAGCAACCCCCTCAAAACCCTTGATACAAGAGGTTATCACTGAGCCCAAGGATAATCTACTATTGTCACCAGTCTGCAATCGACCAGATGACCCAAGCTCACGGGAAGAGGACGGTAAGGTTACAGTGACATAATTAATCACAGAGAAAAAGGTGGGTGGCACATACATACTAAATGTAAGGATTTGTCCAGCTCTTACTGAAAAAAAATGTCAATCCACTGTTAGTTAACAATCACCTCTTCCTTTTATTTATGTGGGAAAACTAATAAATTAGGAATGAAAATGTTATTTTCTCTTTTTCTACACAGAAGTTCTTGCTGAGTTTTATTTAAATTGTTTTAAAAAATTGGCCTCTACATTTCGTTTTCCAGTATTAAAGACCACCAGTGAGTTTCATTTGCCTTTTGCCTTCATGCTTTTAACAGGGAATGGCAGTGATGGAGAAGTACAGTGCCTGGCTGAGGGTCAAGGGTGTCCTCATGAAGCACAAGATGACACGGACAGTGAGAATGGAGTAGATTAATCACTTCGAAAAAAACCAGACCAGATCTGGAGCACAGTGCCTGGCTGACTGCATCTCAAAATGCAGTGTGCAGCAATGGGCCCGTTAGTTAAAACTGACATATAGGTTACTGTGACATAAAAACCACCGCCTTCACCAGGAGGACTTAGTGTTTCAGTCAGTCAGAGGCTGCTGCGGCCTCCAGCATCTCACCTTCAGGGCAGAAGTTTTGGTGGTGTCAGTGCAAAAAAAGCCTATAATCCTCTGTAACCTGCAGGCAGCAAGTGCCTTTTGTTCCCACTGCCAAAGCTGCTGGAGACCCCTTGGCTCCAAGCTCTTCTAGGCAGCTGGCAGCGTTCACTACTTTGGAAGTGAGCGCACTACTGTTCTAAGGTTAAATTCCACTCTCTTAATGTAATTTTTTCCTTGCATCTTTCCAGACGTTACTTAGTTAAATGAATGTATCTTTGGGTTTCATTACATACGTAGTTTCAATGCATAATGTAACATGTTTCTGTCATTTGAACTACATAAAGATTCTACTTGTAAGCAAATATATTTTCCACTTGTATCATCTCCTTACCAGTATATGTCATACCAGATTGACTTCAATGACAAATGGAGATTGCTTCTTAATGTGATATTTTACAGATCTGATATTCATAGACATTATGATTGTTTATGCAAAAACAGATGCAGAAATAGCATCCATGCATGGAAAAATCTGGTTTTACCTTTTAGGGCAATCTGTGACGAAGCATCTACTTAGATCTGCCATTTTCATAATTTTTCCTTGTGATATACTTCTCAGGATCCAGATTTTAAATATAACAGAAAAATAAACAGCCCATCAGTAGTGGCAGAAAGACAGCTTTGGTGTAAAAAGCTGATCAAAGGAATTCTTCTTTCGTTAGCTTCTCTCTTACATCACAGTGGTAGCCTTGTGCCAAAGTGAAATGGAAGATAACAGCAGTGATGCTTCAGCCAGGTTCTCTCTTCTTCCCTTCCCCTTTTTTTTTTTTTTTTCCTTCTCCCCCTTCTGAGCTAGAGAATAAAACTCAAGGAAGTGGAGATTGCTCGAGAGCAGTGCTTCCTCTGCAACACCACAAAAAAAGGGTTGGGGGAAATGGACAGCTCTTGGCCAATTCTGCTGAGGCATTAACGGCTCTCATTTCCTAACACAGAAGTGGCTGTGCTAGTCAGTTAAAAAATAATTGTACACTGTTTAAGCACAACATAGAAGAGTTGGCCTCATCTTCAAGGGCTGACATTATTTTTATGATATAACAAACAGTTGCAACATCAGGAATAAGCCAGGCTTTAAGTGACCTCACTTCATTAAGCCATACCCAAGTTTAGGTGGATGTCTTTTTTCATATCTCTATAAATCTCTAATAATTTGTAGTAAATAGAATTGAACAGGTTTTGTAGATGTAGATTTAAAGCAAAAAAAAAAAAAAATTACTATGGAATTGTTGGAAAGATTTATTTCCAATTAGCTGGGCTTAGGTGCCACCTGGTGGTAAGAGAACTGGTCCTAACAGTAACACAAAATAATCATAAAAGCCGTCAGGGAAGACAACGCAATTGCTTTAAACTTCAGCCATTTTCCACGTTCCATCACTAAAAACATGCTGGTAAAATCCTTGGCCTCCAGGACAGGGCAGGAGGGTGAGCAAGGGCCTGTGGAGAACAGACTTGTCTGAAAGCATCTTCGCAGGAATCTTCTCTTCAGAAAGCTGCAAATGCTGCCAACAGCATTCATGGGCTCAGTCCTAAAAAATACCTGCTTCCCTTTTCTGACAGAAAGCTGGATAAGGTCTACTTTGAGGGCTTTGCGTTGTGCACTTTTTGTGCTGTGTTTTAGTGCCTGTCCTGGTACCCCCTTATTACACTAAGAACAAATAAGCAGGAAGGATCATATTATCATATCACACTTGAAGAAAAAATGTTTATAAACAAAAGTTTTTAAAAAGTAATTCCAAGAGTGAAGTTTGAGCTCTATTATCACTGAAAAGGAAGGAAAAAAAGGATAAAAAAATGCAAGTAATTTCAAGAACTACAGATTATAGAATTGTTTAGGTTGGAAAAGACCTTTAAGATCA